GGACAGCTGAGGAAGAGGACAGGCGCAGGAGCGGGCGCACAGGGTCGCGGGCCTGGGTGGGAGCTCGCTGCGGCTGCTGGTGAGAACAGCCCACAGGCACAGCGAGCTTTCCGCAGAGCCGTGCGCGAACCCTGAGGCTCCGCAGCTCTCCTCCCGCGCTGTGCCGGCCCGCAGCGCCCACCCCGGCCGTGCGCGGACCTCACTCCCGTGCTGCGTCCTTCCGCAGCTCGGCCTCGGCGTCTCTAATCCAGCGCAGTGCGGCTGACCGTGTCCAGGCGGCTGCTTCTCCGGTAAGACTGCGGCCATCGGAGGATGTCTGGGGCTGGAGATGCCCATGAGGGGACTAGGGATGACTGTGCCAGCTAATTCACTGACATTGAAAGATTATTAAAATATTATTCTCACAGAACTAATAGATATTATGGATACTCCAGCAGTTTCACTATCACCAAAGATTTCCATTTAATTTTTTTGCGAACAAATATTTTTCTTGGAGAAGCAATTTTATACTTTGCTGTCTTTTGCTTGCATTATACTGTCATGATTTTAAATTTTACTATGATAGGTATCATATGGTCCCATGAGAACTACGTTTAATTTTTGCATGAGTTCGAATTAGTATCCATATAAGAATGACGTCTAATAAAATTTATGTTTTATGGCTTACCCATAAAATGTGATATTTCTATTAGAAAAAATCTAATATTTTGACATATGAGTGAAATATCTTAATAGTTCATGCAACAAACAAGTGACTGGAGGTGTGGGAGCTTTGGGAGTGTCGGAGGGGCTGCAGAGTGAGGCCTGGTGCGGCTGCCCTGCACCCGGGCTCCATCCGAAGCCGGGCTGAAGGGCAATCGGACAGGCGCACAGCAGCAGCCGGGACAGGTGCGTCCCTGCGTGGGGCGCACACACTGCGTCCTGCGTGCTTCATTCCTACCGCAAGCCGTGAGGCTGCCGAGCAGCCTGCTGGAGCTGACTGGCTGAGGAAGGGGGAGCGAGTCCGGGGACATGGGCTCCCTCCTGCCTCCCTCCGTGTTTCTGTCTCTTGATCCTCTGTCTCCCTGTCTCTTGGCCTTTGTCTCCGTCTCCTTGTCTGTCTGTCTGTCTGTCTGTCTGTCTGTCTGTCTGTCTGTCTGTCTGTCTCTTTTTTGTTATAAAGATTTAATCATGCAGAGTTATTTCAAAGATATGCTATACGTATAGACAAAATCACTGTATTCTATTCCCGTTTTATTTCATTAAAGACTCAGCGTGCACCGCTGCGCACGAGTCACTGTACAGCTGGTGCCCAACATCGTAAGATCTTTCGTAAAAGTTTCCCGTGTCAGACTCCGTGCACTGGGACCTGCTGATTCGAAAACTTGGTTCGTGTCACTGTAATTATTTCAAGAGCATTTCAGTGTACGAGGCGAAATGCGTCAAGTGGTGAACTGATGTAACTCTTCAGGCGTAGAGTGATTGTTTTGTTTAAGGGAGTCGACACGCGCTATGACCTGACACGTGTAAGAAGAGATGCCTGGCCTGGGAACTGGGGTGGCGATGCCCAGAAATATATTTAAGGTGGCGCATTGTCTATGACGTATAATTCTTTCTCCCAAACCAGAGCCTCTTTCCCTACAATAAAATGACTATTTTAAATTCACTTCAACAGTTTCCATGGAGAATATTGCACAGAGGCACCATTCTAGAGTGGACTGAGTGTTTCCCCAAATAACAGAAAATGGTTAAGTGAGAAGAAGTGAGTTAAATTTACAAATATGAGCATATTCTTTCAGACCATAAGAATTTCTTGAAAACCATGCACTTGAAGAATTCGTGGAAAAGTTAAGACAAAATTATGGAGCAGTGTGTTCTTGACCAGCCTACAATCCTCTTTTTCCCTCCTTCTTGGACCTGGTCTGCATTTAAAATGAGCTGCCTAAATCTCTGTCACCGGCATGCACAGGGGCCGCGCCATTCATGTGGCAGGCCACTTTTCCTCCACGTGCCTCTTTTCTTCTGGTTTCTTTTCAGCTGCTGGCTTCTTGCTACTCGCAGGCTTTCCCAGGGCTTTTGCAGAGGCTTCTTGGTGCCTCCAGGCTTCTGCCCTTCCTGCTCCACAGGCTTCTTGCCTGGTGACCACTTGTCTTCTGGTATGGCTGGCAACACAGCAGCGTTAGTCATAGGGATGGCTTGATCCCTGACCTGGCAAAGAATGTTGCTCGGGGTCAAGGGCCTTCCTATGGGGTCAGCTCCAGCGGGGTCCTGAGGCTCCTCAGAGGATTCCTCTTCAGGACTCCATCATGTGTTGTCTCGCGTGTTTTTCTGAGGATTCTCTGCCTCCCTTGGCCCCTGCAGATTCTGCTCACTTCTGTATGCCCACCTTGTGCACAGCAGGTGACAGACACTCTTGAGGGACACTTGAGCTTTGAGCCAAGTGGCAGACAACTCGCCTAAGTCCCAGAAAGCACTTTCAGTCCAAATGCAGCAGTGCTCCACACGCCCACCTAGGGAAAGTTTCACACATTCCACTTCCTTATGCTACACAGAGTAACACACTGGATATGTCTGAGGACCTTGATGTCTTGTTCTTGTAGTAAATATTTAAATAAATGTTCCTATGGATGAGAAATTCTGATATAAATCAGGAATTCATTACTAAATGGACCTGAAATGACTACAGTAATTAATTTATTGAAATAGAAAATCCAAAAGGACGATGTGGTTCATTGAACCAGAGAAAGTTACCAACTTTAGGTAAACTATTGTTGAATAAGAGTTCTCAGTCATATTCATTAACTTTGCAGCTCACTCATTTTCACACCAGTTATCTAAGGCCCCCTGCCCCTTAAATCTCAGTCCGTGTGTGTCATCAATCCTTCCAGAGCTGTGGGTCACACTAGCAGCGCCTGTGTGGGCCTGCACCGTCTTCAGGGGAGGGCTCTGCAGACTGAGGGTCGCAGTAACCACTGCAACATTCAAGATGAGAGTAGGGCTGATGTGTGTTCAGTGCACGGTGAAGAACTGGAGTGATGAAACCTAAAAACAAATAACTATGAGGTATTTGTAGGTCCCAGTAAAAAACGCACATTTATTTTACAACAAAAAATAAATTTATGATATTCAAATTTGTGAGTCAGTGTTGAAATGTAATTGTTTTGTGATTAATTTTGAAGAGCAGAGAAGATACTGAAGGACAGAACTCTAGATTAAGGCACTTTACATTGAATCATTTGTCTGTGAATGTGTGCATACCTGCAAAAACACGGGCGGCCACAGTAGACACAAGGGAGTGGAAAAAGCAAAGATTGAAGGAACCACTGTGCAAGTGTAAGGGACATGAAGACCTCGAGTTGCCAGCAGAAAGAGACTAGCTCAGTAGTGTTCAATGTTTATGAGATACAATGGACAAAACTATTTTTTTTACTGATATATTGTTATTTTGATGAGATATACATGATACGTATTCCTCTTTTTAATTTTTTTAACAAAATGCAATTTATTCAGAACTGAATGAACAAAATGAATAGATGCTGTCTTCGTAAGTGTATACTTCATTTCTTCCATACTAAAAAAATCTTTAAATCTGTGAACACTTTTATTGTAGTATTTTATCAATTTTCAATATTGTATAAGTTTTACATACGAGTGACTATATCATTAGAGTTGAAAAATTTATTTATAAAATTACTGTCTTTGCTCCTGATATATATTTATTTATTCATTTTTTAAAATTTTATTTTATGGAAAAAGAAAACTCAATGGCATAGCAAAACAATAAGACAGTAACAATAGATAATAGACTGTTTGCCAAAATATTCAGAATGTAAACAGAAAATAAGAATATTTTACAGAAATAACAGACAAAAAAATCACAACATTTTCTGTCACAAAAGTCAAAGAAACATACAAATAAAACGAGATAATTTGCATACAATAAATAATATTGGGACAATAGAATAGGTAATTTCCACATTTGTTGAATATCTTACATCCCATTAGTGAGTCTTATTTCACTTTCTCTCTCTCTTTCCACATAAAACAAGCCATGAGTTATTTAAGCTTGTGTTTTTTAGTTCTTCCAGTAAACACTTTGTTCCCAAGTTCTATCGCTTACATTTAAATCCCTCCAGTGTATTTGCCTTACAGGAGGCCATTGCTGCTGAGACCAGGACACAGTACATCCACTGTGGCGACGAATGTGGTCACTCAGCCGTGCGCTGCAGTTGAGTCGCTGCGGCCCAGCCACATTTCTTCTTGTTCTCTTGCTGAAAGAGAAAATATCAACATATATGCACACATCCATGTCCACATTTGTACAGTTCAGATTACAATAGCTAGGTCTTGGCCACGGTGGGCACGTGTGCATGAACAGTGAATGAGCAACATTCTAAATCATTTTTTGTAGGACAAGAGCATGAAGTGAGGAGAGCCACCCTCTTAAACAAGCTCAAGAGAGATCTTCCTTAGAATGACCAGTGCATTTTGTCCTTTCATCCAACTAACGCCATTGAAGCAATCTTATGAGCCAGATGATGCCTAGGCCTTTGTTTTCGTCCAGGGAAGGGAGCAAACATATTTAAAAATGAGGTAAAAATTCTGGTGGAGAGAATGAAAAAGAAGAGTATAACCAACTGAGGTTTATAATTCCATATGACAGAAGGTGAGAGGGGTCAGGGAGAATCAGGGGTTAACAGGGCAAAGGGGAGACAGGGGTGCCTGCTCCAGGCCACACCTGGGAAAGGAGGAAACGAGAGTAGAGCTACAGAATGAATCAGGACCTGGAGCCTCGCGTGGGAGCTCTGGGTGCATTCAGCATGCTAAACCTCACCAGGTCAGGGAAAGGAACAAACACCCATCCTGAAATCGTCGCTGTCATAAACCTGTCTGATAGAGCTGGGGGTGCATGCAGAATACGGCACAAGTGCATGTATGTTACATAGACCCACGTGAGGTTACCATTTAACTAATTCTTATCCTTTACATTTTATTTTTTTAATAAAACACAGAAACGCAGGATGAGGGATGAGAATCAGACGTCCAGCAGCGACTTCACCCTCGTGGGGCTGTTCTCCTCCTCGCGAACCAGCCTGGTCTCCTTCTCCTCCCTGTGCGTCATTTTCGTCCTGACCCTGGCAGAAAACGCCCTCCTGATCCTGCTCATCTGCAGCGACTCCCGCCTCCACTCCCCCATGTACTTCCTGCTCAGCCATCTCTCCCTCATGGAAATCTTGCACGTTTCCAACATCGTCCCCAAGATGGTCTCCAACTTCCTGTCTGGCACCAGGACGATCTCCTTTGCAGGCTGTGGATTCCAGGTCTTCCTGTCCCTCACCCTGCTCGGTGGCGAGTGCCTTCTCCTCGCGGCCATGTCATATGATCGCTATGTGGCCATCTGCCACCCCCTGCGCTATGCCACGTTCATGAGTGACAGAGTCAGTGTGCTGCTGGCTGCGGGGGCCTGGCTGGTGTGCACCCTCAACTCCACTGTGCACACAGCGTATGCCCTACACTTTCCCTTCTGTCACTCAAGGGCCATTGACCACTTCTGCTGGAACTCGCAAGCTCGAGTGGTAGCCAGCATATGCCTAAGAAGGAATCCTGAAAAGAGGCCACTGCTACCTGTTTGAGAGTCGTAGGCTACTCCAGTGAGACACCACAACCTTGTCCCTGTTGCTTCCACAAATCTTGGGTGCATGTGCACAGCCTTCATGCACAGCTAAACCTTTTTGCAATAAAAGGCTGCCATCAAAGTCTCTGCTTGCGTGCACTGACTGTAGATGAGACTCAGACAGTGCTGAGGGCACTTAGGTCCTAGGGCAACTACTGGGCCATCTGCACCCTGAGACATGGCTAGAGACAAACTGAGGAAGAAAATCAAATGTCCTCTGTTCTTCCTGATGCATCAGGAGTTCTAATGTCCTCTTCTTATTTATGGTGTTATGAATGAAATTTGAGTGTAAAAATTGAAAATAGTTAAATGTGCTGAATACTAATGACTTGTATGACCTGTCTGAAAATGAAGTTAGACTGAGTTCAAAAATTCTATACTGTGATAAATATTTGCACACAGACACACACACACACACACACACACACACACACACACACCTCATTGCATTATTTAGGTTTCATACTCTCTTCCTTTAGCAGGAACTAAGCTGCGAGCACCAGATCCCATGCCAGCCGGGCATGTTGGTGTCCGAGGGGCAGGTTGTCCCTCATCACTGCCTAGCAGAGGGTGCTCAGGCTGCCCCTGTCTCTAGTGTGTTTGGGTGGAGAGGCTATGAGTGCTCCATGGGTTCTGCTCAGAACACAGCCAGGTCCTGACCTAACTCCTGCCTGTGGTCATGCATATGAGGTCAGGTGGGGCCCCCAGAACTGAGACTTCCCTGGGACCTGGGCCACAGCTCCCCAGCGTCACTAACACAAGTCTGGGTGAATTTTTGGCTTGGATTCTGCAGTGATGACCAGGACTCGATTGGACAGCGAATAGGTGGTGCTGAAGGGATTTCCCCACAGGAATCCTCTCTGGCACCTGCACCCTCCCCACATGGGCATCTCAACTCCTCCACTGCACAGAAGGGCCCTGTGCTCTAGTGAAGAGCTGAGTGCAGAGCACACCATGGTTTGTTCTGACCAGTTTTAAAGGTGGTGACAATAAAGCACAAAGTTGTCTTTCACATCCCCAATGTGGGAAGTCTCAGTAAGAAAACAGTCATAATCAAGAGTGCAGCAGTAGGGCCAGGGAGATGGCTCAGAGGAATAAGAGCTTCCCTGGCAAGCGCAAGGCCCTGAGTTCAATCCCTGGTTCCGCAAAAAAAACAAACAAACAAAAAACAAACAAACAAAAAACCATGTTTATTTGGGCTGGGGAGATGACTCAGTAGAATAAGCGCTTCACTGGCAAGCACAAGGGCCTGAGTTCAATCCCCGGTTCTGCAAAAAAAAAAAAAAAAAAAAAAAGTGCAGCAGTGAGAAACAGACACTGGGAACAATTGGATAGAACGTGGAGCCCAGAGAAATCACATGAGTGGTTGCAGTATTCTGCCCAGCGTGCTCATCACATGGGGGGCGGGGAGGCTGGCACTTCCAGGAACCAATGAACTTGAGCCACTGCAGATCAGAGACACCCACTGAATGACTAAATCAGTGAACTTCTTGAGAGAAACACAGTTTTCATACATAATCTCTGTTCTCTGCAATAGGAAGGATTTCATAAGTCAGACAGCAAGATCACAAGTCAAAAACATATTCACTATATTATGTTAAAAATTTATTCTTTTACACTAAGAAAAAATTTCAAGGCAAGGCAAGGATAACCAGTTTATTTGGAGAAGTATTTGTAAAAAGTATAGTGTGCAAAAAAGGAAGAATGTATAAAAATTTTTCTGACAGAAAATCAACAATTATTAACAAATGCAAAACCTCATAGTTTTTGTAAGTCAGGAAGGCTGGGATGTAGAGCACCTGTGTAGCTCTCCCGAGCCTCCTGCTTTACTGTCCAGCGTGATGCAGGAATGGGTGTTTGCTTTGGTCACACTCTTCCTTGAAGAAGATGCACAAATGGCTGGTTGGCAGGTGATCAGGTGATTAATTGTTAATTATCAAGATGAAAATCAGAACTGTATTGAAATATGTCTTCAAACATAGTTAGAAACCTGTTATCAAAATGAGAAAGAAAAAAGATAAAGAAGGAAAGAAAGGACAGGAGGGAGGAAGAAGAGAGAGAGAGAGAGAGAGAGAGAGAGAGAGAGAGAGAGAGAGAGAGAGAGAGAGAGAGAGAGAGAGAGAGAGAGAGCAGGAAGAAAGGCAGGAAGAAAGCAACAAAGAAAGACTGAAGATGTCAGGTGTCAGTATGGTGACAGGAGTTTGGTGCATGCCAGTGGGAGTTTAGACTTGGCATACACTGTGGAAACTGTGTGACAGCTCCTGCCCATGAAAAGCATCAAAGTGCCATATTTTTAAGCAATTTTGGGTCATGCAAGTATTCAAGGGCCGGTGAGATAGCTCAGTGGGGTAAGAACTTGCTTAGGTAAGCACAGAGTCCAGGGTTCGATCCCTGGCACCACATGCCTCACTGGCCTTCCCACTAAGCACGCTGAGTTGGGGATGGAGTCTGGGCATGGTGGCACACCTGTAATCCCAGCACTAGGGAGGCTGAAAACAGGAGGATCACTATGAGTCTCAACCGATTAGTGACACCCTGCACAGGAAAGAACAAAACAAAACAAAACAGAATTGCAACAGGGCACTCACGTGGATTTTCTTGAACCAGTGTTTGTAGCATCAATGTCCACAGTAGCCAAACATTGGAAAGTACCCCAGTGCCTAGGCGCAGAGGACAACAGTAGGTGAGCTGTGGATGTCAAATGGAATAATATTTGGAAGTTGAAATACGTATTTCCATGCAAGGGTTGCACTCGGCCCCTTGTGCTTGCCAGGCAGGCACTTATGCCACTGCGCTCTCTCCCCAGCCCCAGGAAGTTGAAAGGGATAAAGCCCTGATACATTCCAGAATGCTGGACCTTGGGATCACTATGCCAAGAACAGGAAGGAAGACTCAGAAGGACAAATACTGCATTGTTCAATCTTCCCAAGATCCACAGAAGCACCGTGTCCCTCGGGTCTTGGACTACATTGTCTCAGAGATTCTGCTCCCAAACCAAACTGGATGAGCACCAGATCGAATTTCTGGATCAGCTGACCTCTGAACTTGGTTCACTTCTCACCCAACTTGGTTTGGGGCCAGAGTCAAGGACAGAGTGGCATTCAGGAACTGAGATACACGGTGACCCTCAGGTTCAGAAAATCAGGTTACAGGGAGAGCAGGCTCTTTGTTTGCGAGGTGACTCCGAGCCAAGTGGTGAGCAAAGGCTCTGGGGTTGCCGGGCCTCGAGGGTGGCAGGAAAACATGACTCTGCTCAACGGGCCTGAGCAGCCCCATCATTAACAGTTCAGCCATAAATTTTATTTAATGCCTTTTTCATGAAAATGATAATTTAGAACAAGCAAATCTATGTGGAGCCAACAGGCTCTCTTCTCAAGAGGACAGTTCCATTATGTCAGTAATTAGAGGTTCTGCGAGCTAGAGGAACATCTTTCTGCTGTCTGCACAGCAACGCAAAATGTAGCCCTGGACCTTTCCTGGGTAGCATTATACCAACGTGAGAAATGCCTTAGTATCCACTGCTCCATGGAAACATTTTTCTGACAAGGTAGGTACCGAGATGATAACAATTTGATAATAAATAATCGTACATATAGTAAATTTAAGGTTACTCCTCAAAGGATTTCTCCCAATATGCTTGTGTTAAATTCACCATCCTGCATTGTAACCTAGTAAAATCAAAACATGGAGACACATTCTAGTGAGGCACTGATGAAAAATAAATGTGTAAACTTGTGGCCTCATAAGAAATTGGCATATAATGACATTTGGTGAGTCTGAAAGGAAGAATCCCCCACTGAGTTGACCCTTTAGTGCGCCTAGAAACAGGTTTATTTTTTAATAAAAATCTGGCCTGACTCCATGCTCAGCCCTGGCCCTGGGCCAGCCTTTGTGCAGTGGGCTTGGCTGCTGTGGTCCAAGTCCTTGTGGATTTTCCTGAGCAAATACATAAGCTGATTGCAGGCCTCTGACCTGTTGAGATGGCCTGGATTCGGGAGGCCTCCCAGTGTCCACGCAGGCGTCACTGCTGAGAAGTACATGGATATGAGGTGAGCGGGTGGGCTGCCTGATAAACTCTGAAAAAGGATCAGCAGAACGATGACTCTGTCCATGTGATGCCCCCGAGCCTGCGCTAAGACACCCACCTCCGTGTCTGTGACAGGGGATGAGGCCCACTTGGTAGACACATGTGTTTTTATCATTTTTACATGAACAGACTTTACAGACAATGTTTCAAATAATAAAATATGACAATAAGCAATTTATGAAATGAGATGTTTCAATGTGAGAACATTAAAAGTAATGTTGGTTAAGATGACTTTAAAAGACAGATTAATAAATAGACAGGTGCTACAAAATCCCTAGATTTATCCTCAAAATAGATAAAGTGATTCTGCTTATTAAATACTTTAAAGAGTTTTTTAAAACATGAAATTGGTCGTATATTTAGAATAAAAATTGTCATAAAATATGGTCAAAGAATAATGTGATTGTGAATGCATAATGAAAATTGATAGTGAAATCAATTAATAATCAAGATGATGTCTGATAATTGCTAGAAATTGCCTACCTTTCATGTAAATATAGTAAGACTATGGCATACATTAAATGATCTTATGCACATGTAAATATGTAAATATGGCTACTCTTTTTTTGGGGGGGGGTGACTGGGGATTTAACTTAGGCCCTTGCTCTTGCCAGAGAAGCGCTTATTCTACTGAGCCATTTCCCTGACCCTTTAATGTGGCTACTCCAAATCATAGTAATAACACCACATAGCAAATGCATACTGACATGTGAGATAAATTCAAATTATATTTCAAAACTTGAGATGCTATTGGGTCTTAAAGGAACCAAGACATTTGCAGAGAAAACAGTCTTTCCAAATAAATACTATTCATGGAGGAGGAGCAGGGCTGTCATGCCAAGACATTCCATACCCTTTCTGGGCATGGCAAA